AACTGATGCCTGTGCAGTGGACAGCATGTACAGATGCACATGGGGGCCATGACAACTAGCTCATTTAGAGCAGCAGAGGATGCAGAGTGCCTCATCAGAGCATGGAAAGCAGAACAGGTTGGACCACTCTCCTGGTTAAACTTTGCAACATGTTCCTGGGTCTGTGGATGCACTGAGGTGAACTTTGTCAACCCACAGACCTTGGAAAGATTTTCTCAACCCTGGAACAATGAAGCCATCGAAGATGTCTCAGAACTATCAAAATCACTCAGGTAACACCCTCAAAACAGTCTTCCCCACACGGGGGCCTCTAAGGCAGCATCAAATGACTGTACCCTATGAGGTAGTTTGACAGCAAGGCATAGCCCCTTTGCCCCTGCTGACAGATAAAAAAATTGAAACATTTGTCCCATCCACCTTCCTCTATACCTTGATCCTCCCCACCCTGATCAGACACCCAGAAGGGCATGCATCTCTCTCAACTGTATAAACAATATTAAGATAAAATAAAATAGGGTCCAGCGGGATGGCCTAGCAGCTGAAGTACTCACCTTGAATGTGCTGGGATCCCATATGAGCGCCCGCTCTAATCCCGGCAGCCCCACTTCCCATCCAGCTCCCTGCTTGTGGCCTGGGAAAGCAGTAGAGGATGGCCAAAGCCTTGGGACCCTGCACCCACGTGGGAGACCCGAAAGAGCTCTGAGCTCCTGGCTTCAAATCAGCGCAGCACTGGCCATTGTGGTCACTTGGAAAGTGAATCACCGGACGGAAGATCTTCCTCTCTGTATATCTGACTTTGCAAGAAAAATGAATAAATCTTTAAAATTAATTAATTAATTAAAAGATAATGAAGAAGGAAAAGAATATTAATTGAGAAATAAACAAAAAGAACCTCATATTTTCAGAACTTTTTAAAGTTGCAATATGGTGTTGTGACAGTCTCTTAGCTGTTTGTCCTTAATCCAGTCGACAAAAGGAGTTCCCAGAACAGAAGAAAATGGATTAATCACAAGACATAAAACAACATTCGACTGAAAATAAACATGTATTAGTGCCTACTGTGTGTCAGGCAAGGAGCTATAAATAGCGAAAAGCGGGTGCTGCTAGCTTCTCCTGGCTCTCCATGGATTAGTGGTTAGAGGCCCCATCTAGGCAGAGAACGTGCTGGCAATGCTGAGCGCCGCCGAGGGACCAGCACAGGGCTACCCCTTAGCACATACCAGGTGCAATGGAGACTCAGGGCCTTTTCTCCTGTGAGAAGTTTTGTTCTGGAAACAGAACAGAACAGGAAGCGCCTCCACCTACCCCTCCCTCGCAGACACCAGATGGGAAGGAAAAAGAACAGAGGGCCCTGGGAGGACAGGGCTGGAAGCGGGGAGGGGCGCATTCCAGAAGCCCAGCCAGAATGTATCCCCCACGTCTGTGCTGCTCCTGCCCCTACTGGTGTGTTACTGGTGGGTCTCCCTGGGCCACTGCCAGCCATTCACTGCGCTGACCACGCCCCCTCGGCAGCCACCGCAGCAACCCCCCGCTGCCGCCATTTCCCTGTAGCCGTTTGGTCTCTTTCCCAGGACCTTGAGAGGCTGTGAGGAGGGGCTCGATTTGAAGAGCTCTGGAAGGTGGGAGGCAAGGAGGAGGGACAGCTTCTTCCCCAAACTCTCTGTCCTGCCTTCTTGAGCCCCGTAACTCAGCCTTTGGCCAGCCTCCTCCAGAGGAAGCCATAGGGAAAGGGGACTGCAGGCCACAGAGAGAGCAGTCCCTGCCACCCTCGCCACCACGCAGGTCTAAGGGTACCCGTGCCCTGATTGGTCTTGGACCAATCAAGCGGTGACCTTTTGTTCCAGCCTCCAGCATCTTCTTTGGTTTGACACAAAGCTGGTTGCCGTGCTCTATGGTCTCAGTTTCTAAAGTAAGGATAGCAGTGAGTTCACAGACATCCTGAGTAAAAAGAAAACTGGCCCTGTGCCAAGGAGCAGGAAGAGGGAGGAAAGCAGGGTGGAGAGAAAAAGCTTGGAAAAGGCTGCTGGAAATGTCCAGCAGATATCCTAACAAGTATACTGGGAAAGACAGAGTGTTAGACTCAAATGATTTCTGAATACTTTTCGTGGATTTTAAGAAACTGTCACTTAAGATCCATCTCTTCTCCCAAAAGCCCAGCCTCTTGTCTCAGAGAGCCACAGCCCCGTAAGCTCAGTACACCTGCCTGTGCTCTATGCTGCTGAAGAGGGACAGTATGGGGAGGGCTATGGGAGGGGATTAGCCATATGCAGACTCCAGGTACACGAGCACTTAACCCTTTTACCAACCCACTGAAGTCCTGCAAGGTAACAACCAGGTGTATGCATTTGCATTCTCAAGACTGACTGCAGTCTGTGGGGCACACTGCAAAAGGGCTCCTGTGACTCTCCCAGTTGATAACAGGCCCATATTTGGCCCTTGGCAGCCATCTGTCTTACCAGAGTCCCTGAGGCACATTTCAGGAAAACCTTGCCTTGCTGAGTGTATGTAAGGAGTGCTACAGGAATTGGCAGGGCGGTTTGTGGCATTGACCTGAGGCAGAGGCAAAGGCCAAGATGATGCACCACACTTGCTCATGGAAGGTTCTCCTGTTGCTTGCCCTCCTCCGCCATGGATGGACACATGCACAAAGGGAGGGGCAAGATGCATGAGCCAGCAGTCCTGTCACAGAACTACCCTGAGCACTGCTCAGACAGCTTCCTGCTCACTACTCCACCCACCCCCTCCAAGATGCCTGAGGATATCTTGATCATCTGCTCCCTAACAGGTTTCCAGCTGCAGCTGACGCTCCTGGCCTGTACAAGCATTCAAAATGTACTATTGGAATGCAAGCTACATATGATCATCTCCTTACACCTATTTCACCTCCCATAAGGATGCTCAGTGCCCAACATATCTCCACCCAGCCAGATCTTACAGTTCTGAGTCATAGTGGTCATTAACAATTCCTCCTCTTGATGAGGTCTCCACACCCTCACACCAATACCAGATGCTCCTGAACTTGGACAGAACCACACTCTGAGCATCACTGGGTGAGCCATCACTACAAACCCATACAGCCATGACTGTGTGTCTGCAAGTTTTCTTTCCGATGCTGTCAAAGAGCCCTTGCACACAGTCTAAATGGGATGTCCTGCCTCAGGAGTTGGAAGGTTTGAGTGGGCTGCTCACCCCATCTCCCAGGAAACTCTCCTGGGCGGTTAGTCAGATCACTGGGGTTCCTTGAGTTGGTGCTTATGTGCATGTGTGCATTTGTGTTGCTGCTGTGGCAGTTCCTATTGTCCCTTTGCATACTCCCGTGCTGACCATGACCTCCAGGTTCTCACTCCTTTGATTTTCTTGTAACCAGGGCCTTTACAAGTGAAAGAAATGAACAGTCACCCGCTTCCTTGAGCCCTTCAGCAAGTCTGTTACCAAGCTGAAACGAGAGACTCCTGGGCTGCAGGATTTCATTCCTTTGACTCTGTAGAGCCCATCTTAGTCTTTGTACACAACCTAGTACAGCCAACACCTTTGAACATCACCAGGCCTCAGCTTACCCTTTCCTGGGATTTGATGACATCTAGTGGCTAACTCAAGAATCATCACCCCCTTCTTTGAGAAACTTCTGGAAAATAAACTGAGCAGCAGCAGAAAGCAGAAAAATCTACTTGTTTACTCTAAGGCTTAAGGGCTCAGAAGTGCAACTGAATAACTGGCTCAATATAGTTAAGAATCAAAACGGATTTCCTGTTCTCCTGGCACTGTAACAGAAATAAGCGGACTCTGCAATCCCCCACTGCATCTTCAATTTGAATGATTTTCTTGAAATCATGCTTGATGAAAAGTTTCTCCGAATAAAATGGAGTTAGGTAACATCAATTAGGCATTTACCTCCTATCAGGCGATTTCTCTAAGCTCCCATAGTCTCAACAGCCCAATGCAGTTCCAGGGTGGCCAAGAGATTTGCAGAGGTCAGGTAACCTGTGAAGGTCAAAAGTTAGGATTCTTGATAACCAATGTAATAGACAGAATTGTAAGATACTGCCAGATGAAGATGCCACAGGTACTCAGAAGCCTCAAGGAGGTACAAGAGTTTATATCTAATTATTTGTGATTTGCATCTTATAGGAAATTTATTGTATTGGGATCAAAACAGAAGCAATCAAGAATTAATCATAAGGGAAACTGCTCCTATAAGTTGCTATTTCTGGGTTCAATGGGCCTCTGAAATCTCAAACTGGGTCTCTAGAGCAATAGCTGCTGCAACACCACTTGGCAAGTGTCAAATCAGAAACCTCCAGGGTGGGACTTAACCATGTTTTCAGAAGGTGCTACAAGTGATGCTGACACACTTAAGCTGGAAAACCACTGATATTAAACAGATTTGGGATGCCCTGAAAAACTTCAAAGGATAGGAGGTTTACAGGTTCTATACAGGTTCCTTAAAGAGGACTTAATTCTATAACATAAGCCTCCTTCTTTTTCAGCATACTAATGTTAATAAGATCTAGTACGTGGTTAAAATTACTTGCATGCTTCTGGGTTTTGGAAAACACTGTCTGGGATAAAATACAAACTCTTCAAAGTACGTCAGTAGTCCTAGGGACACCGGTAACAAGTGTAAAAGCAAAGAGGAACATGGTCACTCTTAATACTAATGAATGGAATGCAACTTAAATAGCAATTTGACATCATTTTTCAACCAACAAAAGGAACAAGGAAAAATACTGTGCATTCTTTAAGGTGGTTCTGGGAGAAAGCACAGAAACACACACTCCTGGTGGAAAAACAAACTACCACAGCATTAAAAATGTGTTATCTTTGACTCAGCAAATCCACTTCTAAGAATATATCTTAGAAATAATTAATAATACACACAATGATGTATATATAAAGATGATAATGTATTATTTATAATTGAAAATCTTGAATTTTAATACCAGAGGATCATAAATTAATGTGTCACATAGAACCAAATAAAGTCAAGCTGCACAAGATTATTTTTCCAGTTTTTAAAAGGAAAATTTATTTAACAAGTTTCACTTAGTACAATACATCTAAATGGAAATCACAATACAAGGAAAGATTTAAATCAAAGCCTCAGAATTTCATACAAACAACACGACCAAACTCCTAAGGTATTGGTATTACATCTCAAAATTGTCCCAGATCTTAAAAAAAAAAAGTGTACACTCACGTGCCTTACAGGATATTAAACCAAAAAGCTAGAATTAACAAACATGCCAATGTTTTCACTTTGAATCGTAGACATAGCTCCTATATTTGAGTTTTACAGAAAAGCATGTTTCTCAACATGCATCTGAAGTTTTCAATGTACTGTGGTATAAGAGCAACATTTAACATATGCGAAACTGCTGTAACCTAAATATGCTTCCTGCTTTAGGTACACTCCTACAACATAACTAACTCGAGGAAAGCTGAAAATTGTTTGAACAGTTATGGTCAATACTGAACTTTGTTATTATGTCCTAGCTGAAGGTTTCATTGTTTAAAATGACTGAGCATAAAGTTTTAAAACAATCTTGACTTTCACTTTACAGTAAGCAGGAATCACAAGCCTGTAATGCAAAACTGTTAAACTTAATCTTTGTTTTCTTAAAAAAGAAGAAAGATAAAAAGAAAAAAAAGGAAACTGACCAAAAGTGGTCAGAATCAACTGTATTTCCCATTTGAGCCAATCATACTGGATACACTAGACAACCCTCCCACACTATTCCACTCCCATAAATGCACAGCTTTTATTTCTGTAGTAGTAGCTGTTAAATGCTTCCTCTCTACCTAAGCAAGGTTTGACTGATAGTCACTGGAGTTTTCCTGCAGAACTTGATCATATCCACTCATGCTGCTCTGACCGCCATAACCTCCTCCATAACCGCCACTCAGCTGCTGGCTAGCAGGACCCCCGTAACTGGACTGGTTGGATAAGCCCATTCCTCCCATCATTTGGCTGCCATAAGCACCACCACTTGCCCCCGCTGTAGAATTCAGAAAGAGTTCTACATAGCTATGATCATAGGCTCCCCCACTTGTTCCTGCAGTAGAATTCAAGAAGAGCTCCACATATCTGTGTTGCATATTAGCTTTATCTTTTGCCATGGCTGCCACTGCATCTTCATGAGTAGCAAATTCAACATCTGCCTCACCAGTAACCCTGCCATCCGGTCCAATTTCAATATGGACTCTCATGGGATTAAGAGGTGAGAAAAAATTATAAATATCATTCTCAGTGGCTCTGTAAGGCAACCCCCTCATGTGCACACAGTGCCCTGTGGTGCTCTGGAAACTGGACCCACCATCTCCATATCTATGATCAGACATTCCTGAGAAACAGTAATTGAGGTCTCTCCCAAATCTATCAGACCCAAAGCCATACCCATCATTATAACCACCATAGTCATCATAACCTCCATAGCCTCCACCATAGGCACCCCGCCTCATCCTTTCAAAACCAGCTCCTCTGCCAAGGCTATTATATCCCCTGCCTGCCCCTGGTCTGTCATAGGGACCTGGCCGCTGCATGGCCATGAGCTTCCGAGGGGGATCATAGTGGGTTCGGACTTCAGCTCGGCTACTCTTGAAGATTTCAATGTACCTGTGTCCTATTCTTTCCTTGTGTTTCTTTAAGGCTTTTTCAGCTATCTCCTGTGAGGCAAACTGCACAAATGCCTCCCCTGTGCTCCGCCCCTGAAAGTCCACCGGCAATGTCATCCCATTTGGCACAATTTCCAACCCGGAAAAGAACTGAACAATCTCTTCCTTGCTACAGCCAAATGGGAGTCCTCTAAGCCGGACGAAGCCATCGTTGGCAGTATCAGGACTATTCGGACCTGTATGCTTCAACACCCAATCCATTTCAACACTGTTGGACTTGAACACTTCAACATATCTGTGTCCCATGGTTTCTCTGTCCTTCTTCAAAGCCAATTTCACTTCGTCTTCGGATTCGAGTTCAACAAATGCTTCTCCACTTGGTCTGCCTTCTCTGGTGTAGATGAAACGAATACCTGATGTGCCGTTCTGGATTTTGCAATCAGAGAAGAAGCGCATAACTTCATCAGCTGAGCAGGACCAGGGTAGGCCCCTGACCTTCACCACGAACCCCTCCCTGCCTTCCGTGCTCAGCATCATGGTGACTGTTGGGCTCTTGGTGGCAAGCCTGGCTCAATGTAATTTCAGTGTGGCTGGAAAATAAATCGGAAGACTACTGTCATGGAAAAATGCTCACAATACAGTAAAACAACAGACTGTTGACCATTAATATGAAAATCAGCAATACTGACAGCATTGTAAAGGACATCTATATAGAGTCCAGCATGGTAGCCTAATAGCTAAATCCCAGCCTTGCCACTGTCAAGATCCCATATGGGCACTGGTTTGTACTCTGGTTGCTCCACTTCCCATCCAGCTCCCTGCTTGTGGCCTGGGAAAGCAGTTGAGGACGGCCCAAAGCCTTGGGACCCTGCACCCGTGTGGGAGACCTGGAGGCTTTGGGCTCCTGCTTTACATCAGCTCAGCTCTGGCCACTTGGAGAATGAACCAGCAGATGGAAGATCTTTCTCTTTCTATCTCCTCCTCTCTGTAAATCTGATTAAAAAAAAAAAAAACTAGGCAATATATGAACAAACTGCTGTTAAAGAAAAGAAAGGACATCTGTATAAACAAACAAAAAAAGACTACAACCAATGTTTAGGCTATTCACACATTCAACAACTACTTAATTAATACCTGCTGGGTTCTGGGTACTACTAATGGTGACCATTTTGGCTGGTAGGATCGGATATTTTTGTTTCGGGGGTCATTTTTCTCCCTTGGACATTTCTGTATGGTCTCAATCTTCTGCACTCACCATTTACTGACATCAAAAACAGAAAATAAAAAAAGACTTGAAAACACTTTAAAGAATTGGTGGGAGATGTCCACAAATAAAAGCTGGCTGTGTTTGCTTACATAAAAATGAAAAAAAACTTTTTTGATTAGGACAAAAGATTAAACAGAATGAAAACACAAACAAAACACAAGTGATACCTGCAGCAAATCCACTAACATTCCTGCCACATGAACTCACGTAACGGACCCTGCGAAGTATCAAGGGCCGAGAAACAAATGGACATCACTGGCATGCTAGCATTTATTTTATCAACCTTTTGTTACTGTTCCTGCTAGGTCTAGTACTTGGGTATGGCATACAAGAATCGATCAACTCAGAGAGGGCCTACGGTCCTATGGAGCACTGTATATCTTCCTGTTAAAAGTGCAAGTACACATCATATCTGTTTCCAGTACCCAGTGCAGGGGATAAAGGAGAGACTACTTGGTGGATTTTCCTCAGAGGCAGAGCAGTTAAAAAGATTAATCCCTTAAGGGATCCATAAACCAATTTTTAAAAATTCTGACCGAGCATAAAATAGGACGGAGCAAAACAAGAAATAAGGCTGGCAAGGTAGGAATCAGATCCTGAAGGCCTTATTCGATATACAAATGCTAAGGGCTTTTTACAGGTCTTTCCGGGGGAGTGAGGGAGTGACGTCACCATAACCCTTCCAGACAGATCACCGTGGCAACAGTATGGCACTCAATCAGAAAGGGGCTGAGGTGAAGCAGGCGAGATTAGTTAGAATGCTCTCTTGGAGCGATGTTACAGGATTCACTAATGCAACAGCAGCAAAAGGGGGAAGCAAGCTGTGTTCTACACGTATGAAAAAGTGGAATTTGTGGGACTTTCTAACACATTAAACAGGGAATTCTGTTTAGTTCTAAGAAGACACAGGAAGGAGGGCGCCTGGGAAATGTTTAAGCATCATCATCATCAGAAATTCAAGCTAAAACCAGAACAACCAACCTTTTTCATCCACCAAGAGAGTAGAAATTAGACAGTGATAGCACTATCCGGGGTTCAAACTATCAGGAGGGAAAATTGCTACACTGTTTCTGGAAAGCAAATCTCCCAATAAACCCCACTTCCGGTTATGTGCCCTAAACAGATAATCTGAAATCCAAAGATTTACAGAAATATATTCACTGAAATGCATTTTACTAAGAACAACAGTACTACATGTGTAATTAAAAACTTCTAAAAACAGGTAATAACATAAGAAATGCCTTATTCTGCAATCTTTGAATACTGCAAGATCACAGCTACATCATAATCTCAACAATGTAAAATAAGCAAGCATTCTCACGTCCCGTGACCCTGCTAGAATTCCTTCCAGGAATCTGCTCAATGGAGAACTTAAAACAAGTCACTGAAGAACTGGCAGAAAATAGAAATCTAAACAGTGTTCAATAGGGGGGAGGCTGAATGAACTGTATTTCTTCTTTAAAATAGAATGCTATGCAGCTCTTTAAAAAAACTGCCCTGACCCAGAAAGATCTGCAAAATGAAAGAAGTTACATAGCATGATCCTACTTATATCAACTGTAAACGTGAGAGTATACGGATACACACAAGCATAACACAACACCCAGAAGAATGTAACACAAACTCGTTTTTCAGAACTGCAGGGTGGAGCAAATGAAGTAGCATTTTTGCCTTTTATCATACAAACCCTCTGTACAGTTTTAGCTATTTAAAGTCAGTGTGTAGGCATTTTTAAAAATTTATTAAAAATATATATATGCATGGGTAACGTGAGATGTTAAAACTGGTTACCGTGACAGATTTATTGCTTTTATCATTTTTATTTTTAAATGTCTGTACATTTCTAATTTTCTAGAGAAAAACGATTTAGTTCAGCCAAAAGTAACAAAAACAAATGAAAATGTTCGCTTTTCTGGGACTTGGTTTAGCAAATTTCTTACACGTTATAATAATTTTGCAGGTAGATGGCTTATCTGAAACAGCCTGGGAACACTGGCTTCTTGGAAAGAAAAGTACAAGGTGTAACAGCTACCACCGAACTACAGTCAGGATTCGCCTCAGTGACACTAATTGCTTATTACGTGGCTGCATCTGTAGTGATAACAGTCTTCCTATACAGCATCCTAAGGTCCTAGGGACTGGCTTTTTGCTCGCCTTATCCTTGAGATGCTTTGTCCCATTTACCAATCCTGCAGCACTCCACAGCTTAACAGCCCCCCTGGATTGTGGTAGGGAGGTTCTGCTTTATTTCTACAACTCCTGGGAAAGCCACCAGAAGGACTTTATGTGTTGGCTAAAGTAGGACTCAAGATTTCATTTGTGTATTTAATATGTGTGCTATACACATACTTAAGGGGATTAAAAAAAAAAAAAAAAACCCAGCGACTTAAGATTGAGTAGTTACCGCCGGGTGGTGAATTACGTGCATTTTTAAAACTTGAAAAGTATACTGTTATTTTTAAATGTTCAAAATTGAACGTGTGAGTTGTATTCATAAGCAGAAAAATAAACGTTGTTCCAATAGTTAATTCCGGAGAAGCACTCATTGGGCGCCTCTGCCATGCACGCAGCATCTGCCTAGATGTGATTCTACAGACAGAATTTACTTGGGGCCTTCGCCCCGACACAATCAGGCACTGGAGACCGAATGCTTGGATGGATGAACCCGGACCCAGATCACAGCTCTCAACATCTTTTTCATAACTCAGGGCCGCGGTTTTCAAACGTTTTTCACCTTATGGTCCCTCTTAGGGCTTCCTCGAAACCGGCCCGGGCACAGAAATATACAAAAACACATACAGTCACAGTCGTCCACCATTTCCCCAACAGGCGCAGCAAAGGCGGCTTCCCGGCACTGAGATGGGGGGGGGAGGGGGTTAGGAGGAGTGGGGGAGGGGAAAAAACCAAACGAAAACGGCGGAGGCGGTTCGCGGAACCCGCTCCGGTCTGCATCATCACCACCACCTCCCCGGCTCCCCAGATGCCACCTACACACCAACCTCCAACGATACCGGGTAATTTTCTTTCTTCTTCCCTCACACAGCTATAGCGACGAGGATAGACGACGACCAGAACTACTTCTGCTCACGTAAGCGAGTGGTCACGTGAGCACCTACGTCATGTGAGATCTAGGTCACGTGAGCAACTCGCCTCAAACCCGGGCCGCTGCGCACTGCCTGCTGGTCTGGCGGTAGGGCGGGTCAATATTAAGAAAGGACGAGTATGATTGGTTACAGGTACGTTTTACGTAACTATTCATTGGCCCGCCTCCGGGGATAACCGTTCTAGTTGCCTGAGTAACAATAACGTCACTCTTTAATAACTTCTCGATGATTGGTCCGCTCCTAAGGTTAAACTTAAAAGGCAGGTTACCTCCCCAAGTGTGTACTGTGTATTCACCGCGACGATGAAGCTGAACTATGGAGGTCAGTGGTTGGGCTGCTCGCTTGCCCTTCACTTCCTGGTCGTGTTTCTCCGGGGCGTCCCTGGGACCACAGCATTGGATAATGGCTTGGCAAGAACGCCTACCATGGGCTGGCTGCACTGGGAACGCTTCGAGTGTAACACTGACTGCCAGGAAGAGCCAGAATCCTGCATCAGGTATGAGATGTTAGATGCCTTCTTCCCTTAGCTTTTCCATGTGTGTTTGTCTCGGGTGTTTACGGGAATGAAGGGTTTCAGCGAAAATGCATGAGCCCAAGGGAGAGCTCCCCTATTACTACTGCTGCTTTTTTAGCCCCCGGAAAACTGTCCCGAATTGAGAACAGCCCCAGATCTTCTCTGTGTCATCCCTCTTAGAACGGGAGTCCAGCTACAGGCTGGACCCTCCTTGGCCCGTCACACACCCACACACTTACTGTCTTTCTCTCAGTTTAAGACTAACTCGGCTTAAGCCTGCCTCGACTTACCTGATTCCATTCAGATTCTTGTGAACTTCTGCACTGTCCCTGCTGGGTGTGTTTACCCGGGAGTTAGCCCTGAACACACCCAAGGTGGGTAGGAGCGACCAGAGTATGAGGCGTGCTCTTTCTTCTCCTTTTGTGGTCACGAGTTCCTTGGCTGACCATCAAGGAAGTTAGACGTGGGGTTTCTGAGATCTCCACCGCCTCACTTTTGAGTATGGTGTCAAACTGCAGCATTGACCTGTAGGGATTTTTAACATATCCGAGGGGAGAGTTCAGCCTGCACTACAAAGGTATTGAATCTGTCTGACCCTTACAATTTTTGTTTGTAAATTGGGATAAGAACTTTTTTGCCTCATGGCACTCATTCAGATGTATAATAGTTTGAATTTTTTTTTGTTATTGTTGTTCAATGTCACAGGTGAGCTTTCAATAAAATAATCTATCTGAAATAGGCAGTACCCAGCACCTAGCCCTTGGGCATATAGAACAAATGTTCTTCATCTGCCGTCTATGAAAAACAAAGTCTACAACTGTATGTACATTTTTCTACAAATAAAATCTTTAGGTTTTTTTTCCCCCTAATTTTCGAAGGTATATGTGATCTAGAAAAGGATCACTAGAGGAGCCAGTGTTGTTCCACAGTGAACTAAAGCCACCACCTGCGATGCCAGCATCTAGTGTGAGCTCCGGTTTTGGTATTGGCTGATCCTCTGTCCATCCAGCTCCCTGATAATGACCTTGGGAAAGCAGTGGAAGATGGGCAGAGTGCTCGGGCCCTGCCCCTATGAGAGAGACCCAGATAGAGTTCCAGGCTCTTGGCCTGGCCTGGTCTAGGAGGCATCACAGCCATTTGGGGCAGTGAACCAGCTTGGTGAAGACATCTCTTTTTGTGTATCTCTGGCTCTGTTACTCTGCCTTTCCAATAAATAAATCTTTTAAAAGAATCACTAGTAGATACTCTTAAAGACATAAAATACCCCATGATGCAGAGGGGTATTTTAGAGGCCATTCTAAAGGCCAAAGGTCACAACATATTGCTGTCCATAACCTCTTTCTGAGAATGTCCTTAGAGATTATGTTATGGTGTTGGTTCCATATAACAGGAGAACTTGGGCCTCTGTCAGACTCATTCTGTTGTCACCATGGAGTATAATGGATGGTAACTGAGCACCTGTGGGTTTCTTTCTTCTTTTTATAAACCATAGAGCTGTGTAATTTTTATATGATTATAAAACCAATAATTAATAGTTTCTAAAATGTACATGGTTTCTAAATGTACATAAAAATATAATGAAAACTACAATTTCTGCCATTCCATCATGCAGAAATAGTCAGGGTTAAAATGTTAATAGCTAGCCACTTTTAACCCCGTTTGTTCGCTTCCCTTTTAGCTCCTTGCTGATGCACCTGGACAGGCAGAAGATGGACCAGGTACTTGGGTCTGTGCCACTCCCACGGGGGACCCAGATGTAGTTCCTGTTCCATGGTTTGGGCCTGGCTCACCCCTGGCTGTTGTGGCCAGTGGGGAAACAAACTAGCAGATGGAAGATCTCTATCACTCTGCCTTTAAAGCAATAAATAAATCTTTAAAAACATTAGTGCAGGTGTATTTTAAAGTTTATGGAAAGCAAAGTTAAAAGGTAAAATTATTTATCTATATATATTTATATTTTATATATTTATAAATATATTGTGTCTATAAAATATATTTATATATTTATATAGATAGAGAGAAGTAACATTAATTCTTACAGATTTACAGAGATAAAGAGACACACACAGAGAAAGTTCTTCCATCTACTGCTTCACTCCCCAAATGGCTCAATTGCCTGAGCTGAGATGGCCAGGAGCCAAGAGCCAGGAAGCTCTTCCAGGTCTTCCATGGGGTGCAGGGTCCATAGGCCTTGGCATCCTCCACTGCTTTCGCAGACAGGATCAGAAGTGGAGTGGCTGGGACATGAACCAGCACCCATATAGGACTCCAGCGTGCTACAGGATGGAGTTTTAGCCTGTTAAGTCTGGCGTCAACCCTAAGATTATATTTTTTAAATATTTATGTTCATTTATTTGAAAATCAGAGTGACAGAGAGGGAGAGGCAGACCAAGAGGAATCTTCCAACCTCTGGTTCACTCCCCAGAAGGCCACAATGGTTGGGGCTGGGCGAGACTAAAGCCAGAAGCCAGGAACTCCGTCTGAGTCTTCCACATTAGTGGCAGGGGCTCTAGCACCTGAGCCATCACCTGCTGATTTTTCAGATGCATGACCAGGAAACAGAATCAGAAATGGAGCAATTGGGAATAGAAGCAGGCATTCTAATTCAGGAGCCAGGCACCCCAACAAGGGGCTTAACCCACTGCTCTACAGTACCTACCCACATCTATAAATTTCTTGAAGCACCCTCATACATGACTTCCAACTGTTTTCTGTGTAAATAGAAACAGATTTTTCTCCCATCGTTTCCTATGAAAATGGATCATGTTTATATCAGGTGTGGTTAATGGTAAGACTCCGGTGTCCTGCCTGGGTTCCAATTCTACCCCATTGTTATTTAGCCATGTGACATCAGGCAAAGTAATTATCCTATCTACATGTAAGCCGAATAGAGTGTTTGGCACAGAATGAGAGTTTCATAAATTCAAATTATGTGTATATACCATAATTCACTCAAGCCAACCCTGTTGGTAAGCTATTCTGGCTCTTCACTTTTTGTAAGTCATCTGATTCTTATCTGAGTCAGTCTTCACAAGACTAATTACTGGGTCCAAAATTATAGTCATTTTGATATGTACTAAACTAACTTGCCCAAGGATTTTACAAATGCACACTCCAGCAACTATATATATGATTGACTGTTTGCTCCCACCTTGGCTAACACTGCGTTTTTGTCATTCTTTTAAAATTTTGTCAACTTCTGTGTGTTAATTGCATTTCTTTTGCTGCTGATAAGGTTGCACATCTTTTCATGCATTGAATTGAAATTAAAAAAAGAAATGAATTGCATTTCTTTCTATTTGGGATTGACTGTTCATTTCTATTTTGCTTTGTGTATATAAATATATGTGTGTATATATTAAAGATTTATTTTTATTGCAAAGTCAGATATACAGAGACAAGGAGAGACAGAGAAGAAGAGCTTCCTTCCATTGATTCACTCCCTAAGCAGCCACAACAGCCGGAACTGCGCCGATCCTAAGCCAGGAGCCTCTTCCGGGTCTCCCACATGGGTGCAGGGTCCCAAGGCTTTGGCCGTCCTTGACTGCTTTCCCAGGCCACAGGCAGGGAGCGGGGTAGGAAGCAGGGCTGCCGGGATTAGAACCAGCACCCATGTGGGATCCCAGCGTGTTCAAGAGGAGAACTTTAGCCACTAGGTCACCACACTGGGATTGCTTTTTATATTGTTTTTTTTTTTTTCTCATTCAGACACTGTAATTTGGGTGATTCTGCCAATGTGTCAATATTGATAATTATGTAACCAAACATGTCAATCCTTTCCAGTTTAATGCTCTGGGGACACACTGAGATCAACCCATCTTCCCTAAAGATAATATGATCACCTATAATTTTCTTCTAGTGTTTTTTTTTCCAAATTATTAATTTTTTTGGCCCTGCACGATAGTGTAGTCGTTAAAGTCCTCGCCTTGCACACACTGGGATCCCATATGGGCACCGGTTCTAATCCCGGTGGCCCCTCTTCCCATCCAGCTCCCTGCTTGTGGCCTGGGAAAGCAGTTGAGGATGGCCCAAAGCCTTGGGACCCTGCACCTGCATGGGAGACCTGGAGAAGGCTCCTGGCTCCTGGATTCAGATTGGCTCAGCTCCAGCCGTTGCGGCTGCTTGGGTGGTGAACCATTGGATGGAAGATCTTCCTCTCTGTCTCTCCTCCTCTCTGTATATCTGCCTTTCCAATAAAAATAAATCTTTAAAAATAAATAAATAAATTCTAAATTTTTATAAATTCTAAATTCTATATCCAGTCCATCTGGACTTATTCACCAATAAGGAATGTCATATGTAACATGTACTAATCCTATGGTATAAGGTCCAATTGAGCCCAGATTCCATATGTGCATGAATTCATGTCCCAGCTGCTCCACTTTCCATTAAGTTCCCTATTTGAGGCCTGGGAAAGCAGTGGAGGACAGCCCAGTGCCTTGGGATGCTGCATTCATGTGAGAGACCAGAAGCTCCTGGCTCCTGG